TATATATATATATAGATGAGATGCATGAACCATGAACATGGTTCATGCATTTTACCTGATAACCCCCCTTACCTTATTTCATCTCCTATATAAAATTACAATCTATTTTCTGAGGACTTACAAATGCAGCCTAAAGAACATACCTGCAGTTTGCTGGCTCTCTCATCATCACTGTTGACCTCCAGCAGGTCATCGATATCTATCTCTACCTCGGGCATCTCCTCCTCCTGGAACACAAAGACACTCTGGTTTACTGAGCAGCTCAAGCAGAGGAACTTGTGGAAGACGAGCACATAAATATGTGAAGGAGTAAATAAGAAATTAAAACGGAAAACAAGAATATTATACACTTATTATACACAGTTTATACAAACAGTGTGTCTGAGCCTCTGAGCTTCAAGCTGCAAACAAGCTGAGCATATGTAGTATTTAGCTTTTTGGAACAGGCATCGTATGGAAATGTCATTTTACTGTGGGTTGGTCCATTTAGTGGTTAAAGGCTGTTTTCAGCTCAGTGCCACTTCAAAGGTCCGCTGTTTCACTGGTTCATTTTATTTACCCACGGACGGCGCAGGGAGGATCAAACTGTCCCTCCCAGCTACCGCATGATGTATCATCCAAATTCTTCCTTTTGGGTTTTGAAGCCAAAGTGTCCATGTATATACAAGCAGTGGCCTTTATCAACAGCCATATTAATTGCAACAATCTGTGACTATACCACTCCACCATCCCTAGAATATACACAATTTCCATTTCAGATTATTCCCTATAATTTACATCTAATGCCAACGCTCATGTAGGTCACTGCACTCTCGCACAGGAAAGACTTTGTGTCCTAAACTGGTAATTAGTGTTTTCCCTTCCATTTACCAAATCTATGATCTTTCTCTAGCATCAACAAAGACACTGTTGATACTGGATTAATATTTTGGGCATTTGCACATTAATTCAAAATAAATAAATAAATACATAAATAAAAGACTAAGAATCTTTATCTACTACATGTTCATTAAAATATACCCCCGATCACCTTCTATCAACTGCCAAGTGTTAACTTTTTGTCACTTATAAGGAAACTCAACACCCAAATCTCCATGGCTTTCAGATTTCAAGATTTTGCCAACCCTTACCTACTGAACTATTTGTATGTTAATAATTTATTAATTTATTTCTTTGTAAATTAAGTCTTTACCATCCATAAAATTTAAGAGAGGATATCAGTGCTCTTTTTTTTTTTTACCACGTTATTGAACAGTCTTGGTGAAGGTTCATTTAAAACATCTTTATTTTCTTTTGTACTATATTACTGTACTACACATCACACTGGAAGGCTATAATGCTATGATACATTCACATGAGCCATAACCTGCAAGTGCAGAGATGCCCATAGTTCAGGCTCAGGCTCTAATATCAAACCCATGATTTTAAGTGAATGTGACTTGCAGCCTTAATGCCTTTCTCATCTAATGCATACTAAACAACATTCCTTAGTAGTCCTCCATAAAATTGTAGGATGATATCTATCATTATTTTTGCAGCAAACTAAAATGAATAAAAGCGACTAGTTCTTTAGTTGCGCGTGTGTTTGTGTAAGCCTCCCAGAGGACTCTTGTGTAAGGTGAAGCCTCGAGCATGCACTGGTATTTAGACACAGGGACAGGGAGGATGGAAGGATGGCTTGATTTTAGCTCTCAGCATTAAAGCTCAGTCACCGCTCAGTTTTGCGTGGGTGTTTCGATATGCACAGAATGAAATTAGATTACAGTTATACCTTTGAAAGTAGCCTGCAAGACAAAATGTACATTCCAAGAGACAAATGTGCTGCAATATGCAAACATTTGACTACTGATGAACTAGTGCAAATGTGTTGCGTGTTCTTGTTTTAGTTAGGCACAATATACACAAACATCCCATCATAGCACCCATTTACACAGTCAAAAAAAAATCTACCACATCTTAAACAGGCTTGATCATATTTCATCTCTATTTGCTCAAACACACTTGACATTCACACACACACGTAGACACAAACACAAGGCTACCCCACCTCGATCGTTACTCCTGACAGGCATTTACACAACCTGCATTTTAAGCACCTCTTTCTCTGAAACGTCTTAGCATGAGGGTCTCGCTCTGAAATCCTCACTCGTTGAGGAAACTGAGAAGAAAGGTAGCAAAGCCGGGAAAGGGTCAGAATATGTCAAAGCCTGACACCTATTAGCATATGAGTGTGTATGTGGTGGAACCACAGAACAGAGGTTGTGTACAAAATGCTAATCATCAGAGGAGATGAGCTATTTCAGACTGCGGAGTGGAAGGATAAATTGATTTAGATGAAGAGAAAAAAAAAGTGAGAAAATTGAGTTAATGTGAGGTGGTGAAATGATGGTATTGTGTGTTATTGTGTGTGTTGTCCTGCTAAGCACAGGCACTGATGTTTGCTTGAAACCTCAAGATCAGAATACTTATTTGTGTAAAATGATTATTTCCTAAATCTGCAATGCAGCATTCTTAGCTAGAGTGGAAGTAACTGACTGATAAAATTCACATGATTTGGTTTGGTAATCAAATATTTCTTCAAAACTGATTATTGAATGTTCTCTTAGGAAACTTTAAAAACATTGTTGAAGTTTGAACTCACCTCTCCTGATGAGGGCACTCCCAAAAAGCAAAAACTGCTCATTGGAAAAACAAAAAAGTAATGGTTGTCTAGTGATAATTTTTCTGCAGGTAGTTGCAGAGACTAAATGGTCACATCACTCTCATTCGCTCATTGTCTAATTCTTCATAACTGCACTTAATTGTTATTGCACGAGTCTCCTGGTGCACGAGTCAGCTTGTCTTCAAACAATGGCAGCTTGCGTCAGACTCACTGCAATCACTCTCAGACAGATTTGTAAAGTTTTGCAAATAATCAGTCTTATTTAGAAATGCAGAGAGATTTGAGCAATCAGTTGGAGTCAGGCTGCAACCGGCTGCAAAGTAACACATATGTTGTGTTAATTGGGTGGAATTTCCCCAGCTGTCCATGTCCAAACTAAATTATTTTCATCCTGATCCAGAATAAATACCTTTGAGCAACAAATTTGTGATTTTTGCTGAGTTACCACAGTTAGTTGGCGTATTGTCACAAACAAATTCTCATGTAATTGCCCTTTTGACCCCAAATTATACCAGACTGATTCCATCTTATTGCTGTTTTATCACCATCTTGGTGAACCAAAGTTGCCTTGAAGACAGAAACTTTCTGCATGTGGTGGCAGGGTTGGCCCCCACCTTTCAAACAACCATTTCAAAAGGCAACAAGATTTCAAAATCACTGCACAAAGTTGCAATAATTTTACTAGTACCAAAATCTCCAACCACTGTTTTCCTTAACTGCACCATTATTGAGGCCCAAACCAGCATCAGGGTGCCAGAATTCCAGGAATCGCACCCATGTTCCCACAGATTTAGCAGCTGTATTAAGGGGGAACCACATGATATTAGCCAGCTGATTTCAAAGATGAGATTACAGCAATGTTATATTACAGTGATTCATATATAAATCTTAAAAAGAGAAATTAGGTATTTACAATATAATCATATAAGAGAGGTCAAACTGTTCAGTGCCAGTCTTTCTCTAAGTTTTACATTTTTTTTAAAGCTGAAAATAGGTGACAAAAAAACTCTGCTCAGCTGGTCCTTAAGGAAATCTTAGAATGAATAGAAAAAATTTTAGACAAAGGCTGGGTTTCGTAGCCTTAGTGGAGACGAAACCTAAAGGTTCAAATCATCAAACACGCCTCCTTCCTTGGAAGGTCATGTTGTTTACACCTCACAGCAGCTACCTGCAAATTTGGACGTGCGAGTGGAGTGCAGAGATCATGGCCTCGGTCAGTGTCGATGAGTTTGTGCGCTGTGATATGCTGGTTTAACCTAATAATAAACATGAATGCATGAATTCGAATGAGTAACAATGTGAAAGTGAAAACCTGTCAGGATCATAAATTTAGCAGACTGACCTACTTCTTAAGATGTTTGAGGGCAAAGGACAAGTCTGTCTGCCTGCCTGTGTGCGGAGCTATCAATCACTCGCTTCACCCTGAATACTCTGTGTGGGTTTGTGTGTGTGTCCCTGAATATTCCACTTGTCAGCAGGCAGTCCGTCACCCCCTGTCACTGTGATTGGTGATGACTAAAAACACGGCCTGCTCGCCAGGCGTGACTGCAGGCTATCGCCAACAAAATCCCGGCTCCTACAAACGCGCACATGCACCCGCGCCGGATTTTGCTACCATCAATCTTCTACAGGGAATCACTCACCGCTGGGCTTTGCATTACAGTCCCAAAGTGTATTAAACACACTGTGTAGATGGTGAGAATGGAAAAAACACGCTCTCACACCTAACACACACATTGAAGATGTTGTCCTGCTAGATGATCGCGAGCCTAAAATAGCTAAGGTCACACCTGCTGCTACCGGGAATATAATTTTCCATCTAACCAGCATACAAAATGACAAAAGGTACAATGGCAGAGAGTGACAGGCAGCCACAAACAAACAGAAATGTGAAAACAAAATGGGAAGTGCTGTGAAACTGCGAACGCCTGTTTATGCACAAGAGGCCTAGATTCAGCATTTCTCACAGATGACGGCTGGTTTTTGTTTGCATATGCAGAAGGGAGATATAAAGATGAAAAAGAGAGCGAGAGTTTGTGCGAAGAGGATGGTGTGCGCAAAAACAGATAACAAGGAGCAGTGTTTGTTGTAATGAAGGCAACTCTGTGAAGACGACGTGTGAGAGCCAACAGGCAAAACAGAGGCCGAGAGAGAAGCGGAGAGCAACACTGCCAGCCTGTGTGTGTTTGCTGCGTGCAGAGATGCAGACGAAGTGAGGCATGCATGTCTGCCAGACTCATATTCACCGACAGCTAAACAGCCAGCAGCGTTTTCAGTCTGCTTCATCCGCAATGAGGTGAATCAAAGCTAATGTAAGCGGCCCAACCCCGTGACTCAACGCAAACTCCATTCAGACTACTCAAACGTTCTCTGCGAACAAAGAGTTAAACTCTGATTCATAATTATTCCTATTCATGGCCCACTTTTATGAACTAGATCTACCAGTTACATTGGACAGAAGCAAATCCCACTTGAAGACATAATGAACGAGTCACATGAAACCGCGATCGAATGTTGTTTCACTTTAGAAATATTCTGTTTGAGGAGTAGCACATGACCTTTCGT